CTATTTCCAAATAAATAAATGCGTGAAAAGTCGGAGAAAAGTCCTGGTCCCGGCACCAAATAGAGCATCTAATGCACGGCACACATTGTTGGGTTAATTACGTTGTTCGGTTATAGCCGGATCTGAAACTCATGATGTGCATTCATCAGGTAGTCTATTAAGGATTCAAGTGCAATTAAAAATGGATTAGTTCTCAACAATTTAGTGTGGTCAAGAAAAATATCGAAATAAATGAAGTTTCATATCAGACCAAATCCCTCTTCCAATTAACCAGAACGTCCAAAAAAGTATCGGTCACTTTACAGTATTGTATATCACCTTCTCGTTCCAGTTAGAGACCCTTATTTTTCTTTCTGATGGGTTCTACTAATTTTCAAGTTAGCAACACAACTCAACACACACTATTCAGATCCACTCAGTAGCCCTTCATCAAGAAACTGAATAATTTAACCTTCTGCCTAAGAGAACGGTGGGTCTCTTTCAACAATCAAAGTATTGAAGACTTCTGAAGGAAAAACAAAACAAAAAGAAGGAAATTAAATTACTTATTCTAATTCTTTTTAAAGACAAACCTTGATTAATCAAAAAAGAAGAAGAAACGACGATTAAAATTAGAGTAAGTAATCAAAGAAAAGAATTCCTAATTAACTTAATACTGCCTGTGAGAAAAGCTACTCTGGTCCATATATTCGGAAACAAAAATCGATGTATTTAATACGTTTTCGTATTCTGATATACTCTTGCGAATCGAATTTATGTTCTTATTCGAGCTTGTTAATTTCGTAAGAAGAATAAAGGAAGTAAGGTTTTTGTAATATATATATATATATATATATATATATATGTGTGTGTGTGTGTATATATGTGTACTTATATTTCTGCGTATAAGGCAAACTTTAGATAAGATGAGGTCAAAAGGAATACCAAATATTCATGAATTTATCTTATACCTGTAGTATAAGATGACTGCTGCTTGATTAAATAAAGATGATGTTATTAGAAATGTTGTTAATTACTGTATCCTTAGAAATTCAAAATAAACGAAATGACAAAACCGATTCTATATCATGTTTTTTCCTACACACGTTCCATAAAAGAGGAACCATCAAATAATGATTCCCTTTTGGCGTTTTAGGTTCGATTCCTTTCCGAGAATGACATAATTTCTACGAAATTTCTCGCCTATTCAGACCGGTAAATGTAATTTATACTGTTTATTAAAAAAAAAGAATGGAACATTTGTTTAAATAAATTGTATCTAATAAAATAACGTATAAGCATAACAAAATATTATATCTATTTATTTATCAATCTCTCTCCCTCTTTCTGATATATATATATATATATATATATATATATATATATATATATATATATAGTTAAACCTAAAGACCCAGACAAACCTACCAAGGTTTCATCTAAGCAGATCGTCAGGGAAAGCTGGATATAGGTCTGCTCTACTTAACGTATTCAGCACTTTATTTAGTTATTTTTCTTAATCGTATCGTTTTTTTTTTTTGGACTTGGATGCTGACGATTATTTTCGGCTGGCGTACATGTTCTTGGTTCTTTCTTTTTTTATACGTTTTTTTTCCTTTCGTATTGGTTTGATTATTTGCAAATCAAAATACCAAAGGTTTTCCGAGTATAATTTCTTATACTTATAAGAGTATATATATATATATATATATATATATATATATATATATATATATATATATATATATATATATATATATAGTTCTTATTCCAAAATAAATACGAAAAAATTCACCTTCCTCTCTGCCGGCAGCTGATAGCTTAGGGAAAATCTCCGACTAATGCCAAATCAGTCGGGTTTCGATCCTGGCTTAATGCAATCATATATGTATCCACTCTAATGAGCTGTGATACACCGAAACAGTCTGTCTGTTGATGACAATATATATATATATATATATATATATATATATATATATATATATATATATATCGCGTGTAATCGAGTGTGTAATTGAGAGAGAATTAGAATAGAAGGCGCTATTCGTCACATTCTCTGAGAAAATAGCAACGGAAAGTTCAGACCCTTAAATGTCGTAATGGCAAATGTTCTAAATATATCTCGCTTGACCAAAGTTAAAAATACCGCGGGTGTAAATTAAAAGGGGTAAAAATCTTTATCCAAAACTCGCAAGGCACAATATTAACCACTGATTTTAGAAAGCGTTTCCATACAGCTGACGGTTTAGATATTTCTGAACGGGTTTGGTACCATGCATGAAATCCATATATAAATCTTGATCTAATGAGGCTACTGAAAATTATGAGACAAAAAAAAAAAAGGAAAAGGTGTGAAATCATCCCATCTGATACGAGAAGATAAAATCAATTCATTCTATCTGATACGAGAAGAGGCTAATTCCTTCTATCTGATACGAGAAGAAAAGGCTAATTCATTCCATTTGATACGAGAAGAAGAGGCTAATTCATTCCATCTGATACGAGAAGAAGAGGCTAATTCGTTCTATCTGATACGAGAAGTTAATTAACTCCATCTTATGCGAGAAAAAGACACGACTTTATTCCATCTGACTGGAAGAGAAGAGGTGAATTCATTCCATCGGATACGAGAAAAAGTGGTGAATTAATTCAATCAGATACGAGAAGAAGAGGCTAATTCATTCTATCTGATACGAGAAGAAGAGGCTAATTCATTCTATCTGATACGAGAAGAAGAGGCTAATTCATTCTATCTTATACGAGAAGAAGAGGCTAATTCATTCTATCTGATACGAGAAGAAGAGGCTAATTCATTCCATCTGATACGAGAAGTGAATTAATTCCATCTGATACGAGGAGGAGAGGCTAATTCATTCTATCTGATACGAGAAGTTAATTAACTCCATCTCATGCGAGAAAAAGACACGAATTTATTCAATCTGACTGGAAGAGAAGAGGTGAATTCATTCCATCGGATACGAGAAAAAGTGGTGAATTAATTCAATCAGATACGAGGAGAGGAGGTTAATTCATTCCATCTGAGGAGAAGAGAATTAATTCCATCTTTATCGACTAGAAGAGGCGAATTCATTCCATCAGATAGGAGGAGAAGAGGTTAATTCATTCGATCTGATAGGAGGAGAAGAGGTGACTTCATTTCATCTGATAGAAGGAGAAGAGGTTAATTTATTCCATCTGATACGAGAAGATAAAGTCAATTCATTCCATCTAATACGAGAAGTGAATTAATTCCATCTCATGCGAGAAAAAGACACGAATTTATTCCATCTGACTGGAAGAGAAGAGGTGACTTCAGTCCATTAAATACGAGGAGAAGAGGTTAATTTATTTCATCTGATGCGAGAAGAGGTGAATTCATTCCATCTGATACGAGGAGTAGAGGTTAATTCATTCCATCTGATACGAGAAATGAATTTATTCCATCTGATACGAGGGTAGAGGTTAATTCATTCCATCTGATACGAGAAATGAATTCATTCCATCTGATACGAGGAGTAGAGGTTAATTCATTCCATCTGATACTAAAAGAAGAGCTGAATTAATTCCATCTGATGTGAGATTTAATAAAATAGAGCCGAAAACGACTTGTCTATCTTCTCTCAATATCAGTCAATAGACAGAGATTAAAATTTAAATAAAATATTCTAGGATTGCTGTAAAACTCACGAAACAAACAAACAAAACAAAACAAAACATAAATAACACCAATAGAAATGTTTGCAGTTATTTGAACAGAATTCAAGAAATGAACCAGAGAAAATTTTTCAGCTCCCACCTCGGCTGCGCGGGTGCGCGCACATGTACATGAATAAAGGTCATGCTGCCATTTGAACAGAATCTGTAAGTTTATATGGCATTGGTATTTCTTGTAAAGCTAATACATTCATTGGATAGAGCCCTCTTAAACCGCCTTGGATGAATGACAAAACAATAAATACAAGATTATTTCAACTGTTAGATTACAACTGAATGACATCTCAGTGAAGATTTAATTAAAAGAAGGACATCAATCTATATTTCTTCAATATCAGTCAATACATCGAAATTAAAATATACGGGGGATGATGAAAAGCTCTTGGAATGACCAAGGAGGGATTCAAAAAATAGGACAGAATAAAAAAATAAAATTAAGAAAAAAGATTTGATGCTTCTGTTTATTTTGTTAGATTTTGAAAAATGGACCAGAGAACTTTTCAGCACCCCAACTCCCGTTCGTGCGTTCACGCACACTTGTGCATTTGTTTGAGGAAAGAGGTCAAATGACTGTCTGGACCAAAATGGTAATACCCAGAAAGAAAAACAGAGAATAACGTTTATGTTGCCATCTGCAGTTGTTGGTATTAAGGATGCTAATAGTCACTGAAAATCACACATAGAAACACACGGAGTTTCGGTTACTGAAGACACAATTCATATATGTTATGGAACCTTATCCAACATAATGGACTATTCCATAAGTAATAAATACTGTGCCTCAAGAGGAAGCAGGGAGTTCAGTCCGAAGTCGGGCGACCGGCTGACCGGCTGATCGGTTGAACTCTCTGCCTTCCGGCGGAGAGGAACCCGAACGGGGCTACGCCGAAGGGCGGAGTCTCTTTCGGTGAGGTAAACCGACCCTGAACCCGTTTATACGAGTTCAAAGGGCATATTTTTGGCCGAGCCCATGGGCTCGGAGATCCCACGTTAAACCGGCCTTGTGCCACATGATGCCCTCGTGGGGGTGTGGTGACTAAATACCGTTCCGTCTGAAGTCTGAGTTCAGTCTGAAGTCTGGAGTGAGGTCCGTCAGAAGACCGTCGGGAGTCTGTCCGTCAGTCAGAGCGAGCGAGTCAGTCAGTCAGTCGAGTCAGAGGCAGTCCGAAACAGAGTCGCGTTCAGACAATTACAACTAAATCTGAGTGTTCGTACACTTTCTACATCTCTGTATATATTCCTGTTTGTAATATATCTGTGTCATTCCATATCCGCCTTCGAGTTTTTCTTTATTGGTTCTACCTTGG